CAGTACGGCAGGAAGAGCTACGTGGTCAAAGGCATGGCCTTCTCCCCGGACTCCACTAAACTGGCCATCGGGCAGACGGACAACGTTGTCTATGTGTACAGGATCGGCGAGGAGTGGTGAGTGTGCGGTGAGGTCCAGCATGCTCCGTTCTTAGCCTGATCCTCACCCTGGCACACGCTGCAGTGCCCATCACCCGGCCCCAGGGAGCCACACAGGTGTCTGTGGGGAGCAGCAGGTGAGGTATCCTCGGCAGGGCCCTTATGGAGCTCGGGCTGTGCATGCAGCTAGCTGGAGCCAGTGTTGCCATCATGTGTCACAGCTGTGCAGCGATGGCACACATCTGGCCCCCTGCAGCCTCATCTGCTGGCAGGAGTTGTGCTAACGGTACTCAGAAGGGCAGTTCATCAGGAGTTTGGAAGCTCCTGATGAACTCTAGAGGTCTTTTTTGGTTTTTTGCCTAAAGTTGTGATAGACTAGCAGCACACAAGATTTCAATGTACTGTGTTTGGCAATATCAAACCAGACTGGGTATAAACAGTAGGGTGATCAGAATGTTTAGGGTTGCTGATAGTAATTTTTGTTTCTGTTTTTCTCTAGGGGTGACAAGAAGGTGATATGCAACAAGTTCATCCAAATGGTGAGACCCAGACTTCTGTTTGACTTCCTTTTCTCCAGCATGTGTAGGAAAAGACAATGAGGGGTCTCTCTGCTCATACTCACACGTGTACTTGGCCAAACTGTACTTGACCTTTAAAGAATCTCTAAATTCTGAGGCACGTAGTGCTTATCAAGCTCCAGAGGTGTCCTAATGCCTAGGTACAACCGAGTAAATTGTTGAACGATCAATGCAGTCAGTTACAAAACTTTGGGGACTACTTTAGGCATCAATGGACAGACTGTTTTAAGGGAGTTGAAAGGGAAAGATATGCGACACTCAGAGCCCAACTATTTTTTCCCAGGTTTGCAGTTCTAAACTCTAAGATGCCTTATTAAGCAAAATGTAAAGTGTGCAGAATTCAAACTGTGCAATTTCCACATGCTCAATTGCCTCAGGTTTATGATTTCCATCCGGTTTGCTCCTTGGCCACCTCTGTGTTGTGCTGCTCTGGCCTGGCCTGCCTGTGTCACAGAGCAGCCTGCCCAGTAGGAGTTTGCCAAGGCTTGCCCTGAGATCTGGCTGGAAAAGGCAAAGGTGTTATGAATTCCTTGCACAGAAAGCCATCAGAGTGAGAAAATACAGTGCACTGACTGCTTCTGCCTTCAGAGGCAAAAGTCCAGCAGCTGCCCCAGGCTTTCCAGGGAAGTGCCATCACCACATTGTCTCTGTGTCACCAAGGAAGTTCTCTGCAGGGTAGGAGGAATCATCCTTCATGTCCAAATCCCCAGAAGACATAGACAGAGCTGCTCCAGGTGGAGTTGCTGGAGTGTGTGCCAGGCTTTCTCAAGCTGTCTCTCAGGTGAAGGGTGGCCTCAGCCTCTGGGTGGAAAGCTTTCATCTCAGGGTTGGGTCATGGCCTGCCACTGTGGCGGCTCTGGCTGCTGCAGGGAGCCTGGGGAGTTCTGTGTCTGTGGCAGGAAAGCTGCAGGGAGCCTGGGGAGTTCTGTGTCTGTGGCAGGAAAGCTGCAGGGAGCCTGGGGAATTCTGTGTCTGTGGCAGGAAAGCTGCTTGCTGCTCAGCCTCTGTTTCATCTGCAGTTGAGCTGCTGCACTGAGTGATCATGAGGATAGAGTGTCATGAGGAAAAGATAGCAACAGGGCCTTGGTGTCCATTTGTCCCTTTGGTGAGCAGGGTGGCCATCCCAGGGGTGGGCACATTTGGCCTCCCTGCAGAGCTCTTTCCTTGTGTGCTGCTTGCTGCCTGCCCCTCCAGCTGCCAGCCCAGGGGGGTCTGCTCACCTCTCACAAACTCAGATGCTGTGCAGGGCACATCTACAGGATTTTATATTCTAAATGTAGAAATTCAGTAATTTTTTCTCTCATTGCTCATTTCCCCATGCCTTTTCTATCATTTGTAACACAATAAATCCTTTATTTTTTTCTGATGCTGTTTGTGTGGAGGTTTACCACCGTGTCTGGCTTTCTCCTGTAACTAAGTACTGTTATTTACAAATTTTTGAAATGTTCAGTCAATATGAGAGGTCATTTATTGAGCCCTTTCCCTCTCCTGCCTGTGGGCCATCTCAC